ACACCCCTCTAACTGGCTGTCAGACATCATTTCTGCTTTATGAATAAATAATATGATGCCCAGGGGAAATGCTGGGCTAAGACAAAAAAAATCAATATGTGTCTAGCACATATTAGGCAGTTGTTCAGCTGAAGTCTGCCTCAAATATGTGGAGTAATTTTAATAACAAAACAAATTCTTTCTACACTGAGCTTAAAAGAGGGTTATTAAGAAAGCGCTACCACTACATCACTGTGTATCCTATTTGAAGATTAATAATATTATTCTCCTAAAATGTGAATAAATCTCYTGCTTGCAAAGTATGTGGTGATTATTTGTCTACAAATTTCAAATATTCATGCTAGAGAGAAATGGTAGCAAGTGATTTTTTTACTCTGTTCCTCTTGGAGTAGCACTGGTGCACATCTGCGTAGTAAAACTGTTATTGCAACTGGCTTGTTTGTTATTTTAAAAACATCTTCCAAAATCGCCTTTTTTTTTTTTTTCCAGAGGACTAGGGATTAAAAGTGAAACAAAAGCAGGGTAAATTAATCATTCATGCAGCTCTGTAATTGTTGTAGTCGTTCCTGCAACATAAGCCTGTTTTTACATTGGTTCAATCCCTGCTTCAGCCCCCACCACACAGATGCAGACCCGCTGCAGGAATATTTGAATTGCTCYACTTCTACAGGACCTGTCTCAATAAACAGCCCTAACTCTTGTCACGAGGCAGTTCTTAAATTCCTTTCTGTTATGCCCAGTGAGCGCTGGTTATGTTACCTGCACCACACAGCCAGCAGCATTGCAGGAGTGCTGCTCACTTGCTCTCCCGCAGTTTGTTGGAGCTGGACTTGCACAAGCGTGACTCCTACACCTCCTTCCTTCTTTCTCTGTGTCCTTCAGCACCAGGAAAGCTTGGGCTGYGCCAGGCAGCAGCACTCAGCCCCTGCTGACAGCACATCACCCCMCTCCCAGTTCACTGATGGTTCACACTGGGCTAAGTCTCACCCATCCTTGCCTCCTCAAAAACTTTGCCTTCCCACCTTCCCACAGGTCTGAAAACAGACCTCATGGTGGAAAATGGTGAGAAGATGGACAGGTTATTTTGGGACAAGGGGCAAGCTGCCAGTGCTCCTACAAACCCTCATGAAAGCCATAGGCACCCCAGATTCAGCAGCATAGACAGGCAAACCGCAGGAAAAAAAGGTAAAGACAAAGTAGCAAGCTGCAGTCAGACCCATGGATGACCCCTGAGATCCCTACAAGTCACCAACATCCAGCTCGGGGACATTGCTCTCATAGGGGGTTTTTCACCCCCCTGCTGTCATGCAGATCTTTTAGTGCAGATCCTCCCCTTGGGAGCTTGCTGACAAGGCAGCTCCTCCTGTTTGTCCAGTGTAATGAAAAGCACAAACTTCACGTATTTATGATCCTTTCAGACTGAGGAGCTGCAGCTGAGCGCCCTTGCCTAGGGGTGCTTGCTCCTGCAGGAGAGGCAGCCATCTGGAAGGGCAACCTAACGAAAGCACAGGGAAAACCTGACATCTYGGGGAAAGAAACCTGCAGAAACTGCTCTGATGGTGGCAGAGGTACGAGATATCTTAAGGCTCACTCCAACCAGTGTGGTGGAGCCCATTACACTGATAGGAAATGCTTTAGCCAACCCAAAGAAAGTGAAATGATAAACACAAGAACAGGGGACCTCTCATAACAGCAACAACAAAAAGGAGCAAACAAAACATCCCCCACAAACTCAACCTAAAAAAAGCCCATTAACAAACTAAACCCCCCCACACACCCACCCCTCAAAACCCACACAAGCTATGGGCTGAAGCTTGTATGGATTTCTGTTTATTCTGAATAACTACACATCCCAAATCCTCTGGTGCTGTGTTTAAAACAGACAGAAAGGGAAATTATTGTTCTGCTTTCAGTCTCAACAGAGGCAAGCTGTAAACTATAAGCTGAGTCATGTATCCTGTGCACCAAAGTGCCCCTTCAGCCCTTCTTGCTGCCTGTCTGGTGAGGGGCATGGCCAGGTCCCTGGCAGCACTCTCTCCTTSATGAGCACTCCAACACCACCAAGCCCTCTCCAGCTGGCACCTGGCTAATTTTCCTTTAGCCACTGGCCTTGTGCCTCTGCCACACCATCACCAGGCCAGACAACCCTGAGCAGAGACACTGGGAACACGTGCAGACCCGTGTGATGCCCTTCTGTGGCCATCACACGTGACACAAACCACTCCTGCATATTCTTCATGAGCTGTAAGTTACAGGGGATGGCCTGCAAACACCTCTGCTGTCCTSCTGTAGAAACCAAGAGACCCTTACCCTTCTCTTCACCCCTCACATGGCCCTCACCCACCTACCACAGGGAATCTGTGTTAGAAGCCACTCCTCTGTTTCTCAGAAAATGACTGCACAACATGTATTTCTGCCAGCCCCCAGGAGACAGGAGCACTTGACCTTGGACACTTGACTCATGACCACTCTTTTCTATCCTTTTGATGCTATTGAAATGAATGATTATGCTTCCTAAAACTACCACTGGCTGTAATCTCTCAGTGTTGCCTTTGAAAGTCACAGGAACCTCATGGAGGAGCCCCTCAGTGAAACACCAGGCCCATCTGTGCGTGCAGTGCCTGGGGATGTGGTCCCTGACTGGCTGAACGAAGCTCTCAGCTCAGCAACCTCCTTTATCACCTRCCACACTTGCCTTCCCTACCTCCATCTGAAGGTTCTCTAAACCATACCCACCCAGTGACCCATGGAGTGGTCATTTGTTTTTTTACACCGTCCAAAATCTGCCAGGCTAAAGATTGATACTGTCACCACCAACACAGCTGGCTGAAAAAGGATCCTGTCCTCATCTTCCAGCCTTGYTCATAGCCAAACAGCTGCTTCTGGGCTGTACTATAAATCAGAACATCCAGATTTCTGAAAGGCCCTAGAATCCAAATAGAACTTTTTTTTTTTTTCCCAGCTCTAAGGTTTACACCTTTTAGCTGAAATGATAAAGCTCTGGACCTACAGTTGCCCTCAGATGGCCCTGTGTTGCTGTCTAATGCTGATGGAGGATTACATGGCATGATAATATCTGTTCACAAGTTCTGATTTCCTGTGCAGGAGTTCAGATTGTGAAGGTGCATCAGACACCCTTCAGAGTCATCAACACATTTTTATTGCAAACAGAATTTCCAAAATGATGAGCTACTCAAAAGAGGAGAGAGAAAACCCTGAGCTTTCAGAGGTGTTTCATTTCCTGATCTGAGTACTTTTCACAGAAAATGAGAATTCAGAAGTAAAATGCTTCATCTTTGACAGATTTAAAGGCAACTATCACAGACCTCTAGCTTCCACAAGRTAAGACACCAGAAGTATGAGTGGCAATAAATTGATTTTACATTAATTTTATCTCTAAGGTRTCTGTACAAAGTCATGGATTTCTATATTCCTTTTAAAGATAACTATTCCCAAAATGAAATGGTTCTGTGAACCCTATGTATGTTGTGTTTATTTATGCCTTTCYCATGAGCTCAAAATCTGGGACAGAAACATCTCTGTCCCACATAGAGGTAACAAAATGAGACAAAGAAGGACTCAGAGTATTCACACAAACTCATACAACCAGTCACTGCAGCTTAGAAGGTACCTGATCACACAAGCTGGGGTAACCAAGTGTGTTATCAGAGAAGTGCACTCCATTTTTCAAAGGAAAAGTTAAACCTGTCTAGGGTTAAAAAAGTTAAGCTTGTCTGAACAATCCTTCTCTGAACTTTCCTTGAGGGAAAACTAGGAACATGGCAGCAGGTCAGTCAGCAGTGTGGGGCTGCCCTGAAATATTTTGTTTGCAATCCTACCAATATGCAGTAAGTAAAGGCTACCTGCAGCAGCAAAGCACCGATTCCTTGTAAAGTGTCCAGGTCCTACTGTGCTTAGAAAGGGACTTGAATCTTCCCAGTACTTCTCAACTCAGGCACAAATCGTGTGTGTTACACACAGCCAGGTCAAATCCAGTCTGGTACCACATCATCACTTATTAGTTACAGCCACCCACGAGGGCTGGGACACTTGGAATTAAAATTACCTTCAGTGTTTGAAATCTACCCTCTGCCAGGTGTTGGGTGATGTTAAGTGGCAACCCAATAGAAATTTGGTGTTGCTCCAATCTCATGAGAACTCCAGTAAATGAAGGTAAGCACCCCCAGCCTGCCTTCAAGGCTGTGTTGTTGGTCTCCACGCAGAGGTACCAGCGCTGCYCTGCAGACTGCATGCCCACACCAACCTCCTAAACTCAACACTCTCTTCTGCACCCAGCACGGTGGGAGAGCTTTCTACCTTGAACATGAAATATGAACCCTCAGCAGTGTGCTTTGTTCAGTCRCTGTCCACACCCATGGTGACCTCATTAGCTGTGCTTTCAAACAGGTTTTGAGACAAGAAAATTGATGTACAGATCAGCAGCATCTACCACAACTGCAACAGCAGAAACAGCTTTTACCAGCCTGGCAAAGCGAGCTAAGGCAGTGATTTCCCATGAGTTGGTCATCACTTTGCTTGACCAGAACATTAACMCTGACCAAAGCTACCTTCCTGGGGCAGGAAATCCTGTGTCAGCACTGCAGGACACGTGRTGCCCCTCACACAGCTCCAGGAAAAAAATGAGCTACAAGACTGGAATGCTGAGGGGTAAGCAACAACTTTCTGAATGACCACATTCAAACCCATATTCAGCAGATTTTACCTTTCTGCTGGCASTGGTACTGCTGCTTAAGACACAAAACAAGAAGTGTGTTTTCAAAATTTATCACATCTTTATTTTATATACACACACTGGCAATCTCACACAGCTCACCATGGATCATGAAGCTGCAAGCAACGGTTTCTCTAAAAGCTGCTTTCTGACATTGCTGCTACCCAGTTTAATTGCTTAGCACTGGCATCTTAATAAATTATGGGGGTCTTCAGAAAACTGAGTTAAAGCCAAGCTGACCATCTCAGGAAACAGAAAGCACACTTACCTTGCAGTCTGTGTAGGGCTTGATGTTCAAGTGAGATACAGTATTGACAAATGCTTCCTCCTAGGCAGAAACAAACAAAAAAAAWTTATAAATTCACAAGACAAAATTCAATTATGCCACACTCTAAGAATATGACAATATAAATTATATTCTATGGTTCATCAAATTTAATATCATATCCAGAGAAAAGTACCTTAGGAAAATGTTTYCTTCCTATATTTAAGATACCCAAGAGTAACTAATACAATCTTTAAATTCTTTTTTATTATTTTTGTCTGTTAATTATTTTCTGRCTTTTAAAGATCCAATAAAGAACCTAGGCTGAGAATTAGGACATTTTTACACTCCCACCTCTGCAATGTTGCCAATAATACAGATTTCATAGACCACATCAGAATTAAAGGCTCATATATGTAAAGTTAGGGTAGTTTATACTCATGCATTCACAGTATCTTCAACGAGATTTCTGTAACTGCTTGGGTTTGATAAGTAAAAACTCACTGTTACTTAGCAACTGTACTGGTTTRACATCTAAAGAAAGAGTATCCAGGTCAGCAATGAGAGATTTACCGGAAACAGAGAGTGGTAAAGAGGTTGCAAATTTCCCTTTGGCACCAGCCTTGGAACACRTTCTTTTATTTACGGGATAACAGAGGGGCCATACGGTGGCAATTTGTCCTGCAACACCTACATAATAAAAATTACTAACTTCAGACTTTGTATTTTCCCCATTGCCTGCATGAAAAATTAACTAACTTGGTTTGAAAATTGACTTAGCTAGAAGCAATTACCTTCCATTCCCTGGATGTTTATTTCTGATTTAAAGGGTCTTACACCCTTAAATTTGTAGGGGTCTAGCTCGCCAGGGCATTTAAGACTGGTTTAAACCAAAGTTAGAGCACTAAATAAATTAGGCTCTGCAATACTAACCTGTAAGATTAGGAAACATAATTACCATCAAAGTAAGCAGAAACAGATATAAAATAGACTACTTCTGAAAGAATACGCCATTTCTTCTGCACCATTAATTTTCAGACGAGACTGAAGTTACTAAAGCTGCTTAAGAAATCAGAGATACTGTCAGACTATCKGCTTGTTCAGACCACAGAAGGATATATTGATTCAATTACTTTCCTTTGATGTAAATCCAAATTAAAACCGGTATAAGCATATATTACAACTCAAACTTTGTGCACAAAGAATTTTTCTTTTTTCTTTTTTTTTTTTTTTGTAACCATTAACCAGTTGTTTTGCTTATTCATACCATGTGTGTGACCCCCCCCACACCTTACTGGTGCACTCTACTAAAAATAAATCAGTGCATGCTCCCGGAGAACTGTTGCTTAGCTACATTCTCAATTATCACAATGCTGGCCTTACTCATTCAGTGACAAGGTCAAAGCAATTGTTTCTTTACTTTAACGATGAAGTATCCTGTTTATAAAAATCTTATCTGTTTCCTCCTTGGTGAAATATTGCACATTTCAGTCAATCACTGGTGGCAAGGCCCCCAGAGAGAGACAGTGTGAGAAGATAGTTGGTAGGATTCATTTTTGCCCTTAACAGAGAGGTTTTTTCCCAATCCCACCCTGAATGTCAACTGCCTCACACTGACACACAGGCAACCAATTATACCAGTATTTTTTTTTCCTCCTCTGCTGTGGCCAGACAAATATGGGAGAAATGCAGTAGCTGTATATTTATTCTTATTCTTCCCCCCATCCAATGACAAGTGTAAGTAAAGTGGCCATTTTTAATTAGTGTGGACCTACAGTCAGCGCTGTGGGAAAGCTAAAGAAAAGAAGGAATTTCCCCATCACTTTTAAACACAAGAACTTTTTGGTTTTTCTTTGCCTTTGAGGGCAGGTGTTCRACTGCAAAGACTGCAATTCTCCCCAGGCTAGTCCAGGCTGCTGAATATTTCATTGCCCCTGAGAAATGCAGCTGTAATCAACTTGCAAATAATGAAATGGGCAGCAATAATAGAGCAGAGGCAAAGTGCACCATTAGAAAGYGTCAGTGCTTTGACTGCTGCTGCAATCTTGCTGCACCAATTTATCAGGTTATTTGASAAAATAATAATCCTATCAACTATGAAACAAAAATTAATGTTATGCCAAAAAAACCCAACGAACAGTGTCTCAGGTGGCCAATATGAATTGGAAACAAAAAAGTCAGAAAGTGTGCCAAAGGAATCACATTCAGGAATGAAACTCAATTAAACACAAGCCAATTACACACAACCACRTTAGGGTATTAATAGAAAAGTAAGTTTACAGAAGTTACTTAACTCAGGAAAAGTTTGATAAAAATTAAAGAAAAACCAAGGAAAATATTTAGGAAGTAACAAACATATTCATCTTAATCATATCTTGTAGGGTAACCCATCTGCTRTCTTAATATCTTTGTAACAGGATCTTGAGCTTTGACATTCAGAACCTCCACAGTTTACAGTGTCCCATCTCTATTGTTTGGTGCTGGTAAACACCAAAAGACAGCAGAAACCAGCAGTGAGATTACTACAACAGCATTTCCTGAAGATATGACATAAGCTAAGATGAGGAACTTCATCCTGAAAAATAGGATTGAGCAAGCAGTAGTGATATGGGCTGTAACTGGGCGGACATCAGTATCTGGGAATTACGCAGAGAGGTTMCACAGAAAGCAGCTCTTCATCTCACTGCAGAAACCCAGCCCAAAACCTGACTGTTTCTGATGTGCCTCAGGTTTCTGGGGAACAAAGCATTGACTGCTTGCACAAGTAAGTACAAACATAAGTTAATGGCACCAATGAGGCTACACTGSTTATGTGGTGAAAGGGGCAAGCTCATACACAGTGATCCACATGGATGGACAGTGAGACAACCTGAATATTTTCTACCAACAAAGATGGAAGATCTCTACACATCTCTATGAATTTAGATGGAGGTGTGACTTAGACACGAACTGCCTACCCTGATCTGCRTTGATCAGCATGGATAGGTTAGAAAATGCATTTCTTACATGTAGGAAAGGGTTCAAACGACCTCATCCAGAGCAAAAGGAGTGGTGACTGAGGCAAATGTGGTCTCAGGCATGGCTTTTGTTAGCCTCATAGTCTGCTGTGTATTATTAGCACAGGTGGATTCCAAGACCAGTGACCAGATTAAAAAATATTAGAATAGAAATGAATATTTCATTGAAACTGATTAGAACAATCCCCTAGTCCATCTGCCTGACTAGTTCAGGGCTGACKAAAAGTTAAGGGCATTGCCCAAGTRTCTTTTAGGCACTGAAAGGCCTGGGTCATYAACCACCTCTYTAGGAAGTCTGTTTCAGCRTGTGACCACCCTGYTTRCATAGAGATATTTCCTATWGTCCAGTCTRATTMTCCCTTGACACACCTTTGAACCATTTCCCTATAATGCATCCTATCACTRAATGCCAGGCAGAGAGATCACACCTCCTTCTCTATTTCCCCTGCTCAGGAGGTTGTAGAGAGCAGTGAGGTTGCCCCACAGMCTCCWYTTCTCCAAACCAGGCAAGCCCAAAGTCCTTAGCTGCTCCTCCTGGACATTCCTTCCAGCCTTTTTACCAGCAAACAGCTGGTGAAAAATCTGTATTTCAAGCAACTCTGTGATGTGCAACTGTGGGGAAAAGCAGCTAAGAAACAAACAGAGGCTGAAGAATGAACACAGTGCTTCAGTCTTGCCTGCTGGAAACACAGCAATCTCCCAAAATGCCCCTCCTGGGGAGCAGAACATGGTCCAGTGCACAAAAGGGCTGACACTGTGTTCCCCAGCCCACATTTCCCCCGGTACTTTAGGACACCCTGCTGAACCCAACTCCCATGGGTGCACAGTCCTTTCTCATCCTCCCTCCAAGCAAGGGCTGACACCACCAGCCCAAGCTGTAGAAAATTCACAGACGACTGTCTGTGCCTCCTTTAGTTAACTCCTGAYAGTCACAGGAATATGCTGAATGTTATTCCTAGAAGCTAAAGGAAGTTCTGCATGCAGGGCTGTTGATAGGTTCACATACACTGCACATTGTATGAAGTCTTGACGAAAGTGTGAAGTTGCACAAACACCTGTGCAAGCAGAAAGCCAACAGCAGTGGGAAATAAAAATTGCTACACCCTTTGAGAAATAACTTCTCTTTCAATTTATGTCAGTCTAACCATCTTTTACATGTTTCAAGAAGTAATTCACAGGAACTCGAAGAATTTAAACAGATTGTGAAAGAAATCAAACTGAAAAACACACCCTCTTCCTTCTTCAGTCTCTTGTACTTGTTATGTTCTCTACAAGGATATGCTATATTTTCATTTCTTTTCTCACCAGCAACAGATACAGATTGTGGACAGGTTTAATACTGCCAGAGAAAATGTGGTGTACACATGTTCAGTGCAGCAGGAGGAAATGAGCTCTAACATCCCAGAAACTCATCACCTGTCACTCTGAAAGGAAATAAAGTCTCAGGGTGATACTGCACTGGAGCAATTCCCGTGCTTTGATAATTAACCTCCTRATGTTATCTTCCATCTGCTGGAGAAGAGATCACACAGATAGACCTTCCAGGCACATGGAGCCACCAAAAATTCTCTTGAGCTTTCAGAAAGCTCAGACTAAGAWGCCCTCATTCATATTCTTCTACATTCCCTCCTGCAAATACACAAAGATAAATTACTCAGACAAATGCCGATTTGGACTTTAAATGTCAGAGGAAAATCTTATGTAGCTCATTTTTCCTTTCACTTTTTTCCYCTGGATGAAAGAATTATTATTAACTCCCTGGAGATCATGTCTTCACTCTACTGTGAAAAAGCACATGAGAGACAGAGACAGACCTTGAACAATATAAGGCTGGTGGAACTGCTCCCCAAGTTTATATATTTAAAAATTCAAATATCTATTTCAAGAGCTGTGCATTTTCTGTCCTATCACCAATCCTCTTCCAGATAGCGACATCCCAGTCTGGCTCTTCTGTAAAATGGTAAGACTGTGGTGATACAGGTGGCTGCAATTTGTAAGGTTTCTAGTTTTTTTTAATTTGCATATATAGAATTAGTCTTAGAGGAA